AGTCAGCAAGAGTCAGAATAGAGTCGATGGCAACTAACAACAACAACAGGGTGATTTGTATGCACTAAAGTTTAAGATTGTTGCTAAGTGCCATCAAGTCAGTTCCAACTCATAACGACCTTGCATAGGGTCTCTGAGACCATAAATCTTTACAGGAGCAGAAAACCTCATCTTTCTCCCACAGAACTGCTGGTGGTTTTGAACTGCTGACCATGAGGTTAGCAGCCCGACTCATAACCACCACGCTATGCAGATGATACAACCTTGCTTGCTGAAAGTAAAGAAGATTTAAAACATTTACTGATGAAGATCAAAGAGCACAGCCTTCGATATGGATTACATCTCAATGTCAAGAAAACAAAAATCCTCACCACTGGACCAATAAACAACATTCTTATCAATGGAGAAAAGATTGAAGTTGTCAAGGACTTCATTCTTCTTGGGTCAACTATCAACACTCATGGAAGCAATCAAACGACATATTGCGTCTGGCAAATCTGCTGCACAAGACCATTTTAAAGTGTTGAAGAGCAAAGATGTCAGCTTGAAGACTAAGGTGCGCCTGACCCAAGCCATGGTATTTTCAATAATCTCATATGCATGCGAAAGTTGGACAGTGAATAAGGAAGACTGTAGAAGAATTGATGCTTTTGAGTTATGGTGTTGGAGGAGAATATTGAAAGTGCCATGGGCTGCCAAAAGAACCAATAGATCCATTTTGGAGGAAGTGCAGCCAGAATGCTCCTTGGAGGCCAAGATGGCCAAACTTCATCTCTCATACTTCGGACATATTGTCAGGAGGGACCAGTCACTGGAGAAGGATATCATATTTGGTAAGGTAGAGGGTCAGAGAAAAAGAAGACCCCCAACAAAATGGATTGGCCAAGTGGCAGCATTGATGGACTCAAGCATGGCAACAATAATGAGGTTGGCCCAGGATCGGTCAGTGTTTCGTTCTGCTGTGCATAAGGTCGCTATGAATCGGTACCAACTCGATGGCTCCTAACAACAACAACAAAGTTTAAGAAGCACTGGGCTAGAGTGAATAATAATATAACAACAGTAGCAGATATTTGATGATTTTGTTGTGCATCTGTCATTGAGCTATGTGTACCAAAGACTTCATCTCTAGTAGAATGTAAACTGGAGAGAGAACCTCTAATTTGTTCACTTTCAGATCCCCAGGGCCATGAACCTATAAGGAACGCATGCATTATCTTAGTTCATTCTTCCAACCACCCAAGGAGATGGCAGCCACTTCTCTCCAATCTCTGGATGCAGACACGGAAACGTGGGAATTTAAATAGCTTAGCAAATTTTCCTAGTAAGTAGTAAAAAAAGGCTTCATGCCCAGGTCTGTGTACTACCAATTCCAATCTTAGCTGCAATTTATTTTTAAACTATTTGTTTTAATCTAAGTATCAGCTCTACTTATGTTGCACGTAGATCATGAACCATTTGGGTTTAGAAGATGTGCATTCTTCTTCCTTTTGCCAACAACTGTGTCCTGGTGTGGTGCTGTGGATTAATGTGCTGAACTGCAAAGTCACTTTGAACCACCAGGTCGGTAGTTCAAGCTCACCAGCTGCTCCTCAGAAATGCTATACCGGGTTGCTACGGGTTGGAATCGACTCAACAGCACTCAACAATAACACATGTCTCTAGGAATGTTTCCTAGGTGTTGCAAACTGTTTGCACTTGGCTGGTCACCTAACAACTGGTTGTTCAAACCCACCCAGAAGCCTGGGAAGAAGACTCTGTAATACCTGGGGTCATGTGTGTTGGAATGGACTTGCTAGCAATAGGATGTACAGGTGGAGTTAGGAAAATATCCAATTTTTCTAAGCTTAAGTTTCCTCCACTGGAAAATACTGACATTTCCATTTGCTTCACAGTATTGTGGGGCAGGCATAACATCTGAACATTGTTCCATAAGGAATTATTATTATTATTATTACAAACTGTTCTGAGTCTGTAGAAAAATAACTGAATTAGACTTTTTCATCTCATTTTATATATAAGGAGTTTCTAGAATCGCTCAGAATGAATGACTACATCCTGATCTCACAACATAGTACACTGGTTTCTGCTTCTGTGAAATGGGACTCTAAAATTTAAGCGCTGGGACAAATATGTGAGAATGTTGTTGTTATTGTTGTTGTTAAGTGTTGTCGAGTCACAGCGACCCTGTATAATGTTTCCAAGGAGCAGCTGGTAGCTTAGAATGGCCAAGCTTGTGGTTGACAGGCAGTCCAGTGCTGATCCTACAGCATGTACCAAGTGCCCATGTGTAAGATGGTACAGAGGACTCCGAACAGTCTCCATTTACTCTCTAGTTGTTCTTATTATTATCACCGCCTGCTCTATTCTAATCAGCAAGTCACATCCCCCCTCTGGCCCTGCATTTCCTTGTTGGGAAAATGAAGGCAATGGAATAAGCAAAATTTAAACGAGCTTTGTATACTAAAAAAAGCCCTGCTGATTCTTTGGCTATATGGCAAAGGACTCTGTCATTTGACTTTTGAGGTAAAATGAGCAGTACTCTGGGAGCCCTGGCAGCATAATGGGTGATGAACTGAGCTGGTAACTGCAAGTTTAGCAGTTCGAATCTACTAGCTGCTCTGTAAGATAAAGACAAAGCTTCCTGCTCCTATAAAGATTTATAGCCTCAGAACCCCTATGTAGGGTTGCTACGAGTCATAACCAAATTGACAGCACACATCCACCAGTAGAAGCTCTGGGTGACACAAATATTTAAGCGCTTGGCTGCTAGCCCAAAGATTGGTAGTTTAAGACAAGAGGAACCTTGAGAGAAAGGCCTGACAATTTACTTCTTAAAAATCATCTATGCCAATTATAGGCCTAGCTATATATATACTCTGTGTATAGAGTTTCCAAGGAGTAGGTTTGAACAGCCAACCTTGAGGTTTGCTTGTTCCACAGTGCCACACCAGGACAAGGATTTTGGTTATTGTTAGTTGCCTTCTAGTAGGTTCTGACTCCTAGCAAACCTATACACAATAAACAAAAACAAAATGCCAACGGGTCCCAAGCATTCCCCACATTTATTTTCAATCACATGAGACATTATTTTGATTGCTTCTTACAGCAACTTGAAGATATTTAACAGCAACAACCAATATTTACTATTATCTTTCCAAATAGCGGGGTCTTAGTGTGGCACTGTGGAATAATTCAGTGCACTGCAAGATAGGTTAGAACTGCAAGGTCGGTGATTCAAATTGACCAGCCGCTTCTTGGAAACCCTATACAGGTCACTATGAGTTGGAACAGCAACAACAACCCAAATATTGACATTTTGTTACTCAATTTTCTATCTTTTATATTCATGTTTCCTTCTGAAAAAAAAAACCTTTTAGTATTTCATGAGTATTGGTTTTCTGGGGAAAAGTTATCTCATAGTTTTTGTTTATCTGCAAATGTTCCTCTTTTTTTCCCTTCACCTTTTAAAGGTTATTTTAGCAAGTTATATTAAACTATGTCAATATTTACTTTTTTCAACGGTTTAAGGATGCTTAAGAAGTTATTACAGAAAACAATAAAACACTTTTAAAATTTGAAGTCTAGATAACAGGGTAATTAAAATATGTTAACAAAATTGGGCTTTTCCCCTCATGATACTGAAAATATAGGGTATTGATTTCAAATGCTTATAAAACTTTATTTAAATTATTAAATTTAACCATTTTAAGTGAACAGTCCTGCTTTGGCGCTGAAGGGTAAGCACTGGACTGCTAAGCACAAGGTCAGAGGTTCACTATGAGTTGAATGACTAGATGACAACAGATTTAGTTAAACTGGGTTTACTTTTCTCTAAAAATATCAGATATCTGATTTCTTATTCACATTTCTCCCTGATTTTACAAAAGCACACAGAGATTTATATTAGAAATACTGTTGTTATTTAGAAACAGTGTCGTTATTTCAAAATATAAAAATTGTAAACACAGATTTTCCAGAAATACTATTATCCTGAATTTTTTCTCCAGTACTTAAAATAATGTAAGTTAAAGCCTTAATGAATGTTTCTTCTGAAAAAAAATCAGCTACTGAAAACCTTATAGAGCACAGTTCCACTCTGCCATACAGGGAGTCTCCATGAGTCAGAATGGACCCCATAGCAAGTAGTTTGGGGTTTGGGAGGATTTAGTAGGAGGTGAGAAGATTCCTAGTGGGCACTGTAGGATCAGGACCGGACTGTGAACCACAAGGTCAACAGTTCAAACCCACCCATTGCTCCTTGGAAACCCTTTACAGGGTCACTATGAGTTGGAACGGATTTGATGACACTTAATAACAATGACTATTATTGTTAAGTGCCGTCAAGTCAATTCTGACCCATAGTGACCCTGTATAGGGTTTCCAAGGAGCAGCTGGTGACCTTGAACCCCTGACCTTGCAGTTCAAATGACTGCAGTCTGACATATTAGCCCAGAGCACCACACCAGGACTCCAACAGCAATGATGTTGTTGTTAAGTGCTGTGAGTTGGTTCTGACCCAAAGAAACCCTATACAGGGTTTCCAAGGAGCAGCTGGTGAGCTTGAACCGCCAACCTTGCAGTTCAAACGGCTTTGCAGTCTGGTGCATTAACCCACAGTGCAACAATGATAGGCAGTGAGAATAGGAAAGGTCACAAGAGTCTCTGTGAGGCAGGGTGGCCTGGTGCTAAGGGGTGAAATAGCCACTTCATCAAGACCGGCTCAGCCCTCTGCTCTTGGCCTCAAGGGAGTTGCTGCCTACACTTGGCATCATTTCCCACGCTGAAGAGAGTGGAGACAATTCCAACTTGACAAGGTCCCTAAGCTCATCCCTCAGTGATTTCACAAGGTCATCCCCAATAAATGGAATTCGCTCTGACAGTGGCCCAGCTCCTTGGGACTGCTACTAGTGGTGTTGTGTATAGTGTCCTCATTCTTCCTTTCTCTGAAGATGTACTGAATCTGTAGACAACATTTGGATACACAAAGGATATTTTACCTGAAATAGCAAAGCCGCTAAATCCTACAGCAAGCACCAGAAAGGAGATAGCCACCCCTTTGGTATGAGAGAAGCCAACTACCAGAAGTAAGGTTGCCTCCATTCCAAAACCTGCAAATGAAAACAGCAGAAAAAGAACGTCACTGCCACATCAATGAGTCTAAGTTCATGAATGGATCAAATTGTCATTTGTTTTTATTTCATGTATCTAAGCTGTAGTTATATACTCTGGCACAGTGCTTAAAATATTGCCGAGGTGTTTTACGGCTATATGACAATGCTTGTATTACCTAGATGTTCTCTGAACCTTCAAACATTTTCCTGGCTCACCCTGAACACTAGATGGTTTCAATAGAGTCCAATGATGCTCCTGGAGTACGGGAATGTTGATTCTCTGTTGCTTCATTGATAGTTGCTCTCACCATTTTTAATTATTAAAACTCTCCTATATAATGTCAGGGAAGTCCTGGTGTGGCAATGTAGGATCAGCACTGGACTGCTGTGGTATCTTAATTTACTTACTATGGTCTTTCTAGCCAATGTCTTAATTCCCACCAAGTGACTCAGTGGGAACATGCAAATAAGGCCTAAAGGACTCTAAGGTTGGGATTGGTTAGTTTTGCCATCCAATAAGAACCATCTCAAAAGCAGGAATGGATGATCCCAGGATCATCAAGAAGGAAGAGCATGAGTGTAGCCTGAAATCCTTACCTAGAAAACCACGGTAGCAGAGGCAGTGGCATAGAGGGACTGAGTAAAATTGAACGCCTATGGGCAAGAGACTGGCTTGCAGAATGTGCCCTTTGGGCATTCATAGACTGGCTAAAGGAGCTTTGTAAGATTTGTCCACGCATGACCACATGCGCAAGAAGCCAAAGACAAGAGTGAGGTGTGCCTGCAGTATGGCAGACAAGAGGCTTTCCTGACTGAACAACAGCTGAATCCTGAGTTTTTCTGATCCTAAATTGTGTACCCTGTTCACTTCCCATAATTGTGAATACTGTTATGACTTCCATGTGGCCATTGCAATGGACTGTCAAACCCAGATGTGAAGCCGAGAGTGTTGTGGGAGGGATGGCTGGTGTCCGAATAGGTAAAGAAGGGTGTAGGACAGAGACATGACTGACTCCGCTTCATCAGACTTGGCACCGGGCTGATTTTGAGTTTGATCCTTTCCCCTTGTGAAGTCAGAGGAAGTCAAACTTGATTCCCACATGGTTTTTGCAACTGGTAACCAACCACAAGGTTGGTGGTTCAGACCCACCAGCTGCTCCTTGGAAACCCTACTCAGGACCACTATGAGTCAGAATTACCTCAATGGCACTTAACAACAACATATACTGTCAGGAGTCCCTGGGTAGCACAAATAGTTAATGCGTTCAGCTGCTAACCAAAAAGCTAGAGATTCCAGTCCACCCAGAGATGCACTGGGAGAAAGCCCTGGTGACCTGACCCTGAGAAATGAGCCACTGTAACCCTCTGGAACACACTTCTACTCTGACACACACAGGGTCCCCATGAGTCAGAGTCAACTGGTTTTGATATATTGTTAATAACTCCCCTTTGACTTCCTAAAAAAATGGTCTCTCACATAACAACATAATATCAGTACTCTGATACTGGAGTAGATATATAAAACACAAGTAGTACTTCACTGCTTACAGAGCATAATGCAAGATTCTTCCCTTTCAGGAGTTTACCAAGCTCTCAAGTCTCCTTATAAAACCCATGAGATATTTACCCAGAAACCAAACTGGACAACAGTACTTTCTGTTCCTCTCATTTGGAAAAAAATGAGTACAATCAAATAGATGAGGAAATTGTGAAGCAGTTCCTTGTCATCAAAAAACAAATTCAGTCAACAACAAGCAGAATGATGATACAGTACTCATTCAGGTATGTGAAGGACCATGGGAGGTGGAAGACAATGAATGGAGACTCATCCAGGAGACTATCTGCTGAGTCCAGACAGCTCTGCATGACTGTTGTACAATTTCGTCAAAGGAAATGTGTTCAGATCAACTATTTGCTTCCCTGAAAGGTTATACAGGGTCACTATCAGTCGAATCAGACTCAACAGCACTTACCAACAACACTTCTCTACTTCTAAACAAACAAAGGGAGTCCTGGTTAATACACTGGAGCACAAAGTTGGTTTGATCTGCAAAGACAATGGTTCAAGCTCACCAGCCACTTCTCGGAAACCCTATACAGGGTCACTATGGGTCAGAACTGACTTGATGGCACTTAACAACTACAACAACAACAACAAAGAAAACCACCCCAGCTGCCACCACCTTCCTTTTTCTTCTCTTCTAAATGAATGCTTTATCAAGATTTGAAAGAGCACCAACTTTAGAATCAATCACTAATTGTCTGATCTTGGTTGGACACATTACTTCATCTATGAGCATATTAGATTCTTCATCCAAACAGAAATAGGCATAATAATACAACCTTGTAGGGTACTGGAAGATTAAATGAAATTGTGTCTGTAATATGTGCAGACCTTGGCACATGGACACAACCCAACAAATGGTAACTAGAAGACCCATGCAGAAACCTCAGGATCATCATGGAGTTCTGTCTTTTGTAAGAGTTCTTCTTTTGGCCCATCTGGATAATCTAGAATAAATTTCCCATGAAAGGATTCATACTTTAATTACATCTGCAAAGTCTTTTGTAAGGTAACACAGTCACAGATTCCAGGCATGAAGGAATGGACATTTTGGGAGATGGGGTGCATCATTCTGCCTTGTACAACTTAGGGAAGATGCTGACTACAACATCCCAGCTCTTTATTTCTCATCTGCCAGAGTACAGGACCACATCTGCCAGTCCTCAGTCTCAGTCCAAATATCCCTACCTGAAACCAGCTGTCAAGCTGCTGAGAAACCAGATGTCTAGAGACTATTCCCAGTCTTCCTGGTCAGACTTTATTCCCAAGACTCTGTGTGATCAGACCATGCAAGCTTCTTGTTCCTCTATATACTCTTTGCTTCTAAATGACTTCCAGCCATCTACTCTTGAGTCAGAGCAAGTTCATCACCTCCTTTTCAATTCCATATCCCAGTTGTGACTCTTGCCCATAGATGGCACTGTCTGTACCTCCAACCCGAACCACCTGCTGTTGGGTGCCAGCAGAGCTATTTTCTACACTTAGTGACTCCATGTGACAGAGTAGAACTGCGCACAGGGTTGTCTTGGTTGTAACCCATAGGAAAGCAGATCACCAGGGCTTTCTCCCACAGAGCCACTGGATTAGTGTGAGTCTCTAGCTTTTTGGTTAGCTGCTGGGCACATCACAAGAGCATCCAAGAACAACTAAGAGAAATGACAATAGGTCAGATATAACCAAATCCAGCACATTTTACCTCGTTTTCTTTGCTTTAAAGTTAGATTTAATAACAGTACCTCTGCCACTGGTTGTTATAAAGATTAAATGAGATAATATATATAAAAGAGGTAACTTAGCATCTAGCACAGAAAGCATTCAATATATGAAAATTTAAATAGCAAAACAAAATTTGTCAAAACCCATAGAACTGGAGCACAAACAAGATGGCGGATCGGGTGGAAGTGTAGTAAGGAGCTCCATCAGAAACAACACAGAATATAAGGAACAAGCAGGCTCAGGGGATGGTCCCAGAACTCTGAACCACGTATAAAGGAATATTTAGAAGGTTGGAAGGCTTACAGCTAGGAGAATTTGTAGCAGAAGCAAGAAATCCATTGCTTTCTAATCCAAGACGCTGAGCTGCTCCCGGAGCCACCATCTTGGGTGAGACCAATGGGGGAAGGATCAGAGCAGCCACAGATGCCTGACAGAACCACAGATATAAAGGTGTGCACATTCTTTTCTTTCGGTATCTGAACACTGGTCCCTTGCTGTCTGAGCACCTCCATTCTGGTGACTATAGGGGTGTCTGAGCTA